TATAACCATGTCTAGTCGGAATATTTTCGGAATGGAGAAATGACAGACTTGGGTCTGGGATTGCGGCTTAACGGTAGAATGCTTGCCTATCATGTACAATGCTCCAGGTACAATCAGCATCACAGAAAAGGGGGAAAAATCCACCTGTCAGACCTGGATTCATATTCTAGATCAAGAAATGAGCAAGTTACTTCACCTCTCTCAGCCTGCCTATAAAATGGGGGTGATAAGCCTGCTTGGCAGGAAAGCTGTGTTCTTCCCTGGTCAGGACCCATATGCTTCCCAGACCCTGGGAGACAGTCAGAACTTGCCATGTAGGAGGAGGCACTTACACACTATCTTAGAGATAAGCATAGAGGAAACTGGGAGGAGGAGGCTTGGCTTTAGGAAGGGGTGGGATGGGCATGATGGGAAACAGGACCCCACGCCTTACTGTCAGATAGTACTTCATAGGCCTCTGCCACCTCCTTAAATTTTTTCTCAGCCAACTCTTTATTATCTGGGTTCTTGTCTGGGTGCCACTGCAGAGCCTTCTTTCGGTACCTGCAGGAAGTGAGAGAAGCTGGAGGGTCAGGGGACTGATGTGGGCTCTTCCCACCTTCTGGGCTTAGTCTGCCGCCCTTTCACTGCTCCAATCCAAGAATGTTCCATGACTGCAGCCATGTTTTCAGGGGGTTCTCTCCCTGCTCTGTGCCAGGGGTGTGAGCAGAGAGTAAGGGTGCCAGAAGGATGCCCCCACCCTAAGCCCTCTCTCGGGGCTCATCGGATAGAGCTATCTACAGCCACAGAGAGCGTGGGGACGCTGGCCTATCTCATTGAGCCCAGGGCATTTTAGTACTGCAACCGACAAGCCCACATGTAGGAGCTGGAGGAGAGGGGAATTGGGCGGAAGTGTGTAGCGGGCCCCGGAGAAGGACAGCACTTCTTCCCTCGCTGGACTTGGTCCTCATACTCCCAAGGGTCCCCTTCCTCCCTCCAGGCAGCCCTCGGAGGGGGGGCCCTGGCGCTGGGGGCGGGGAGGGGCGGAGAACAAGGGTCCGA